TTTTATGAGTGCTCCGCTTGCACAGGTGAAGGCAACATCATGGAGGCCTTCTATGAGCTTTGCCGTGAGGTACGGCGTCGTAAGATGGTCCAGGGCAAGACTCGGAGACGGAGCTCCACCACCCACGTCAAGCAGGCGATTAACAAGATGCTCACCAAAATCAGCAGCTAAAAGAATTGTAACTAAGTAGAGAACCGGTGTAGAGAAGATTAGGTTGGGGTGGGGAGGAGGCAGCCAGGACATATTAAAATAGAAGTTGGTCAAAGCTTTACTTAAAAAAAAAAAAAAAGTCACGTCATCCCTTTTTGAGTATATGGGGCAGATTCCTTTCTACTTTATTTAAATGGTTTTTGAGTGGTAGCATCCACTCCACACCATTTCCATCCAACATCATAGAGACATTCTAAAGGATTGGATGACTCAAGGGATTGGTAATGAGACAGCTAGGTTGCTGGCTCCAATCCAGCCCAGATTGGTAATGATTGAAAATCATTATCTTCTGATGGCTGCTCAGTGGCCTATGAGTAATGAGTCTCAGTCCTGCGAGGCATCCTCAGCAGAGAGGCTAAGGACTGAATCACCTGGGAGACTGCTTTATTGTACTCTCCAAAATTGTTATTCTGGCACATTTCACGAACACTAAATTTACACACAATTTCTTTTATTATAACCCCTCTTTTCTTGTATTATTTTCCCAGCCCAATACTAGTGCCTACATTCTTAGGTATGTGTTTAAAATAGGAAAAATATTGCATGACAGTAGAGATTTCAACCGGGGTGATGGGTGAATTTCAATAGGTCTGAAGGACATAAATATGGCTGGTTTTCCAAGTCTCTCGAATCTGCAAAAGTGGGCAGGGAATATTGCATAAACAGCTTTTCTGAAGGCAATTTCAGCATTCCACCTCAAAGAACAGAAGTTTGTGTGTGGGGGTGGGGGGTGGGAATCAAACAAAGATAACCAATCTACTAGTGAAGTTCCAGAGATTCAGTTATGGTTAGTTATGAGTTTTTGATGAAAGTTCCACTTCGCTGCTTTATCCAAAATGATGCATCCACTTTTATGTTAAACTAAAGATAGGCCCAGCCCAAGCCTCAAATTCTGGGAAAATTGAGAATTCAAAATCCAAACTCATATGCAGATACAATGTAAATGGCCCCTTTCTTTACAATGGGACAAGCCAAAAGGCCCCAGACTTTCAGGTGTTTAGAACACAGATCTACATTTTATGGCTTGAGCCAATGGTTAGTTTAAACCAGCAGAGAAGACATTTTTAGGCTTTTTTGAGTTTTTAATAGTATTGATCTGATTTTTTAATTTTCTCCTTTCCTCCATCCCTATGGCTTCAGCCAGCTCTTAGTTTTCCCTCTACTTTACTCACCTATTGGCTGCATTTCTGGGACCCTCTTGAGGGGGAAGAGGGGGGAGAGAGAGAGAGAGACAGACACACACACACACACACATATACAGGAGCTAGAATTAGGAGGTAGTTAAGAATTTTCAGATTATGCTTCTTTCTTAGCAGTTACATTACACCCTTTTAGGCAGCTAGGAATGGAACCAAGACTACCATCATGCAGAGTCACAGGCAATTGGGTGGACCCACTAATAGGAGTCTGAGCAGCTCTTTCCTTTGATTAACATCCCCCTTCTATGCAAATACTCTGAGCTTTATTCTCCACTGCTTGGCATCTTGTGTAGTCATTTAATTTACGCCTGTGCAAGGAGAATGAAAAATGGACAGAGAATGCTATCATAGAGGTAGGCAAGTGGTGATATTCGATTTGTTAGCACTTTGCACAAGTGTAAATGACCACATAAGGGGCATCATAGTGGACTAAGTCCTCTGCTTCCAGGTGAGCAGGAAACAGGAGTCCTAAATCAGTTTTTAAACCAGGAATGACTTAAAGAGACTCTGTCAAGTTCATTTTCTTTCAAACAATGTCACTAACACTCTCTCTGATGACTGTCATTGAAGGAATTCATACTCAAATGTACTTTAAAGACCTATATGCTCTTCGTTTACTTTCTGAACTTCATCGCATTTGGGACAGTGAAATTAGACTGTTGAATGTGGAGTAAGTCTTCTTTTTGGTTCTCATACGCTCACACGTTTTCAGTTGCAAACACTACAATAGAATCTTCAAAGCATGGCTCTGGTCAGAAGAGCAACAAATTGTTACCTTCTCATTCAACAGATCTTCTCAAAATGTGTCAGTCATATTGCTAACTTTAGTGACAACAATCAGTTTTTGCCTTTTTTTACTCCTGTTAGCAATGCAGAGCCAACATAGCTATGGGAGAGTGAGCCAGATTCTGTTCTGGCTCATGCATCAACACTTGTTAACTATGGCATTGATCTTGCAAACATGCATGTGATTAACTTAATATGTATGAGAAAGTGTTGTCAGGTTCAGGACCTAAGTTTTTCCTGTAATCTTTAATAATGTGATATCACATGAGCCCAAAAGAACAGACCTTACCTTTACATCCCAGGGAAAGATTGCAGGCTTGGCAATGGGTGTGTGTGGAGTGACATTATTTTACTTGTACACTGAGGAAATTTGATTTGAAGATCAGTGAGAGAGAACATGGGATGTCACGATGCTCTTTGGATAGACTACATTTTCAGATTAAAATTGCAGATGAAAATACACACACAAAATTGACTTTTTAAAAGGCGATGACCATGTTTGTAGTAGGAAGTTTTGTCAACTAAAGAAATAGTAAATTATTATCTTACTTCTTGACAATGTCCCTTGAAAATGTGTCTTTCCTTTTAACATTAGTTTATGGAGAAGTAATGAAATCCCTTTTGAAAGAACACATCATGCTGAGCAAACGTGTCTTACTTGTTAAGGAGAGACCCTCTATTAAAAGTAGCAATGTTTATTTGTGAAGATTGAGGTTGGAGACTACTGCAAATGACAGATGACTGGACAAAAAAATGGGGGCTATTTTGTGATTTGGGTATTGTTTCTATTTTGTTTTTAATTAAGAGTGCTGTTGTTTTTCCTCTGTTTAATGGGCTGATTGTTAAGCCAATTGTAACACAGTATGACTACAGTCTAATTTACTGCTTCTCAAGCTGTTGTAATTTATTATTGGCTGTTCTGTAGAAGTTTCCTATTTCTACAATTTCTCAAATGAGCCAGAAAATGCCGAAGTGTTGAAAGGCGCAAATGCAAAGTGAACCCATATCCACTGATCTTTCAAGCAGGAAACAGGGTAATTAAAAGCCTTCACTTGTATTCTTACTGCCAATTTTTCTTTTTTAATGGTATTCCCCCTCCCCTTTTTTTTGCACTTTCCCCCTAAAGAAGTTTCCTCATTAGTTCAACATCATTGATCGCGATTCATTGAAGTCACAAATAAAGAGTTAGAGATGCCCATACTGCAAGATTTGGATCAGGATCTAAACTTTTTCCAAGTTGGGGTGTTCATATCTAGCGGATTGGTGCAATCATTACAGAAAAGGGGGTGGGGGGGAAGAGACCATGAAGTTTCGATCCATATCAAGATAAACTTTCCCCAAATTTGGGGATGTTTGTATGTGGGGTTTGGGTACATATATACTCGGCACATATATTGTACCAAATTATATATAACTGTATGTATTTTGACATACAAGAATATGAAGGCCCACGCCTATAGATAATATATAAGAACAATATAAAAATAGAGAAAATCACTGCTCTCTGTACTGAACTCTTACATGTTCATTTTCCTCCAGATACCTCTGATACTCTGTCTTTCAATTAACAAGGGGCCGAATCTTCAAGTCCTCATTCAGTTTTTATTTAGAAAGATTTTTAAAGATATTTAGGTGCCTACCTCTGGGAATTCAGCACCTAAATACCTTTTAAAATATGGTCCTTTGTTCTTACCTTAGGTAAAGTCAAAGTGAATTTTGCCTGAATAACCTGTTCAGGATTTGGCCCAGAGTGAACAGATCCGTTTAACTGGTGTGAATCACAGATATTTCACCAAAACACCTAGGCATCCAATAGATGCAATAGCATTTATAAGGGAATATGGAGCCTTTTACCATTAGCAATTATAGCAATTCAAAGCTGATCAAAAGTATTATAGCAATCTGGCTATTTGGTTGCCTGAATGAAATTGGTTGACAAAGGTCTGTGCAATCCTTATCCTGCCATGTAAGTGATAAGTGGGTCAAAGCCATAAAGTTCAGGGTGGTTGCCATTGACTTCATTGGAGACAGGATTTCCCCCAGATGTGGCTGTTCCCAAATATCAGGGGTAATTGGACTTCAGCCTCTAGGGCTGTCACTCTGGAGTGACACTCATTGTTAGCACTAAATTTGATAAGAAGGAGGTGGAGGGATGCCAACTACGCTGTTCTAGGGCCCTAATCAGTTTCCTTTACATGTAAGGTAAATTGTCTTACCCCTATGAGAAGAAATGGGATTTTCCTGAAACAGTGACTGGCATTTCCCTAGGAAACGTTGTGGAGATTTTATTCAAATATGGTCAGGCTAGAGCCTAAGTTGTAGCTGAGATAGGCTCAGTCAAGTTGAAGGCTAGGCATGGGGGGCAGGAAATGGCGCTAAACACCTTAGTGTTTCCCCCAGTTCTTGGTCCATTCAGGCTGTTTCCCCTGGCAACTAAGGATCACCAGGGCATAGGGATGCCTAAACCATGCCCCCTTCTCCTGGGAGCACCCCCTATGACATGGGTGGTGTCGAGCTTCTATGCTTGCCCTGTGCCATATGGGGAATCCTGCAAGGGCCAGGTAAGCCAGCTTTCCAGTTGTGATGTGCCACTAGGGCAGTGCCAAACAGCTGGAGTCGAGTCAAGAATCAGGCTCTTAAACTATAACTGCCTCATCAACTAGACTCAAAAAGTTTCCTGCAAAATAAATTACAGTACTGCAATTCTTAGCTTTCAAGGGGGAAAGATCCTAAAGATTACGTATGCATAGACTTTCTAGTTCTTCTCTCTTTCTCTAATGGCTCAAACTATTTACATAACTTTCAAGAGGGAAAAAAAGCATTTGTAAAGATATAGAGGCTTTATTTCAACAATACTCCTTGACAGCTTGGTGTAGCTGACTTATTTTCTTTGAAAAAGTAAATCTATAATAAAAACAGTGTCATTTTAGAAGCTCTAGTGTTATGTGCTTTATTTCCATTACATATGCCAAGCAGGAACTACATGGCCATTAAGATGCAAAGAGCTTGAAATTCATCCACTTACTTTGTGATGTTACTAACTGCCTGGGATGGTGGCCTATGGGAATTGAGTTCAGTCTTGATTCTAGTGGGCATAGGTCCATATCACAGAAGCGATTTACATGATTTACACCAGTAAGCGTCACCTTGGACTAAATTCATCTCTGGTGTAACTCCACTGACTTCAGTGGGGTTACACTAAGGATTAATCAAGCCCTTTGTTGGCAGTCCTAGTAGCGTCAATGACTGAGTGGACAGGGAGATAGCTACCCTATTCCCTGTACCTTATAGGCAATACCTTTCCACCTTGGATTTGAGGCAGATTGGTGGGGTATTGTGGAAAAGTCATCAATAGTGCAAGCTTACCATCGAATGGCTGTGGTTAAAATGGGACTTCAGTCTCCAGGATTGTCGGAGACTGTAGGTGATTCTGTACCTATAAAGAGGCTATGGCTACATAGCAGAAGTATTCCAGCATGAGACTACAATAGGTAGACATTGTGTTGCAGTCAGATTTTGAAAGTTTAAACATTAACATGTTACTAGTCCACAGACTTTGATATGAATGTTTGTTAGGAAAGAATGGTCTTCTGGTTCAAGTACAGGACCTTTGTCAAGAGAACTGAGTTCTATCCCAGACTTTCTGTGCGATCTTCGGTGAGCCACGTAACTACTCTCCATCTCAGTTCCTTAGCTATAAATGAGGAATAACATTTCCCTAAACTCCTGGGAGATCTGATGCTTAATTCATTGATAGTGGTAAAACTATTTGCATCCACAATAACAACTTCTATTCATAGATCTCCAAGCTTCAGCGCTAGAACTATAGCTTTGCAAGTGTGTCAGTTTTATTGGCAGTAGCATTTATTTGCTCAGGAACAAGAAGTTATGGTCACATCTTCACTTCCAAGGGTTTGTCTACATGGTACATTAGCATGCACAAGCTGAAATAGAAATTCTAACACACACCTGCAGGCCACGTACTAACTGCCCATGGGGACGATGCTGGCATGCACTAAACATTCTCTAGTATGGGTTGACTTACTGCAGTTCGAAATGGGCAGGGCTTGGGTTCTGCCAGAACACCATTCCTGGGGACCTAGAACGCCATTCTGGTACTTCTGCTAATTGTAGCCACTTCCCAGCCTCCATGCAGGGGGTGAGCAGGGCCCTGGTGCCAGTGCCTAATGTGGGGAGCCAGGGCCAGGAAAGGAGCCTCTTTCCCTCCTTGGCTGCAGAGTGTCCTCTGAGCTGGCAGGTGCTAGTACTGAGCGTTGTTAGGGGGCACTCAGTGGGGGGCAGTGCAGAGGGAGTGGGGGACCAGACTGGGTAGGCAGCTGAGGGGCTGGAGCTGCTGGAAGCTTGGAGCTGGGTAGCAGGAGCCCCCCTGCCAGGCACAGATAGAGGGGACACAGGAATGGGGTGGGCTCTGTGAGGAGTCAGCTCCCCTGCTCCCCAGGGCCTGCCCCACTGCTCCTATCTTCCTCCCAACTCCCACCACTACTCCCCATTGCTTCCTCCCAGGGCCTCTGCATCTCTGGCCTCCCCCCTCCCATCTTAATATTTAGAACAAGCTTCTGCCTCCTCTGGCACTTTTTTTTTTTTTGGACTCCAGCACTGGAAATGGGACTGTGTCATCATGCACTAGGGAACTTTCACCATGCACCAGCAGACATTTAGTGTGTGACATGCTGATGCGTGCTAGAGTTTACACCCAAGCTGGTGTGCAATAACATACCCTCCCTGTTGACAAGCCCCGAGTTAAATCTATCCATTGCTAGCTATGTACTTTCAGTTAGTGGCTGATTAATAGATCTGTCTAATAGACTTGGTCACTAGTGTTGTATTTTATCTAGAGCTTCAACCTACCTCTTCTGCCCTAGTCAAAGTTACCATGGTAAAGATCGCTGTCAAATATATTCAGATGGAATGACTAAGAGTACAATCAAATAAAAACAAACAAGGGATATAACCTGTGCACAGGTAAAACTCCCACTCATTTCAATGGGAATTTTTCCCAAATAAGGAGTTTAGGATTTTCCACATAAGCATTATAATTTATTAACAGGACATTGGTATGCTGATGATCCACCCAGAAATATAATTAGAAAGATAAAATGCATGACAGTTTTCTTTGTAAAAATATTTTTACAAATTTAATCCAAAAGAAATGCAAATATTATTATTAATGCCAGTTGAACTGAGTTGAAATTTGAAATTAATGTCAGGCTTATGGTGTCCAAGTTTTAATTCCAGTGTGGAAATACAGCTTCTGGATCATTCCGTGTTTTAGAATTAGTTTATGTTGAACTATGAGAAATGGCTATCCCTAAATAATTTAAAATAATTTCCTAACAACTCTATTACCTTGGCTCCATGCTCTATCTACATGACAAGCTACAAATGTATAGTGGTTATTAAAAGAACAGGATGGCACATATTTTGTCTTTAATTCTTAAGACATTAGACAAGATAAATACATTACCCAAGATATATTTTGGAGCAAAAAGGTCCCATATTCATCTCTAAATTCTGAAATTTATTATATTCTGATGCTAATACAACACCACCTACCAAGCCTTTCAATGAAGATATAGAACTCTGGACCTTTAGAACCAAAAGCATGGGCCCCTATCACATGAACTAAGAGTAACTCTGTTATCTGGTACTAGTAAATGGCTTATTTCACATGTCTGGTCCAGCCACTTATAGGGCGACATGACCAAACATACTTAGCCAGTGTGTTACATAATAACTTCAGCCTAGTTTTAAAAGGCACTAAGGATCCTTGTTAATGTCACTTAGTTTCGGTTGCTCAGTATTACTACTACTGTGTCCCTTAGAGTTCAGAGTCTGGGTCAGATAAAACCTCAGAGTGTTTACTTTGAACTTCTATAGTATCATCCATTCAAGAATTCCAAAGCACTTTAGGTAGATGAATGAATGAGGCCTCATAACATTCCTGTAAAGTAGAGAAGTATCATTACCTGTATATTGATAGGGAAACAGGGGCACAGAGAGGTTAAGTGACTTGCCCTGGCAGAGCCAGGAATACAACAAGCCTTGTGACTCCCATCTTTGTGCTTTACCAAAAGCCTGTATTCTTCTCTCAGATTATCAAAAGTTTATCTATAAAATTGTGTTGAAAAACCTCACAAGAGCAGGTTCCATTTCTAGTTGCCATCCCATTCCTAACATGTGCTTTCATCCATGCACGCAGGTTATTGTCCAAACTTATTCCTTTCCTAAGGGATCCCCTTTATTCTTAAATCATGTAGCGAAGCTCTAAGGCCAGGACTGTGCTTACAAGCACAAATGTTAGCCCTTAAGGTTCTTCCCTGAGCTTTTGTTTTTAGTGTGTGTGTGTGTGTGTCTTTCTGTCCTCTATATTGCTGCAGAAAAGACACTCAGCATTTATACTTCTGAGCTGGAGGTAGTGAGACCCACATGGTCTGGCTGCCAGAGTGAGTCAGCAGCACAGCTCTGCAATTACACACATGATCATTTGTTATGATATCTGAATTACTTCCACATAGGGTCTGAAAGAACTGGAACCAAGAAGTGCCGATGTATATGGAAAATTTATTTTTATATATAAAGAAAAGTTAATCACACATAAATAAAGGTTTAACTTGCATTAAGTTCAAGGGTTTAGGGCAGACGTTTATATAATCTTTTATCCAATCTATTTCATCCATCCTCAGTGGACTCTGGGGTGTGCCTAACATCTGTAGAATAGAATTCAAAGGCACATGTGAAATCACCAGATGTTATTAGAAATACTAGATGAGCATATTTTTACCATACCATTAATGTGCTTAATGCTAGCCCAGAAGTAAAGAGGAGAGATGCCTGCATGAACTGAAAAGAGCAAAACAGGAGTGAACATGCTCTACAAGTATTAACAGATATATGAGTTTCTTTAAGAAAAAAATTGCCATAGGCTGCCTTTTATTTCCTGTCACTTTTTTCCCCAATATTGCAGTAGAAGTGAAGTGTACAACCTCCATCAGAGACTTTCTTTTAAAGACAATAGTTCTCTAGAAGTACAGTTAGGACATGCACATTTTATTAAATAAGTACAATAGGGAAGATATCAGAGGAGATGCCAATGGTAGTTATAGACAGGGACAAAAAAGGAGAGATCTCGACATGACATTTTTCAGAAAAGAAACCACTTAAAGACCCTTATGAATTCTGACATTTATACACAAAGATATAGTGGGCTAGGTGTACCCAGGATCCCCTGAAAATAATTAGCATTCTCCCGGGATGGGAGAAGTAGGGATAGAGGAATAGAGAGATTTAGTATGAGGATACCAAACCTTCGCCATTAGGATCAAATCTAGCCTAGATTGCTACTAAGTGAGGTGACCATCATGAAGAGTTAGTTATCAGTTCCAAAGGAACTAATATCCGCATCACAAAATATCACCATGACTGGTACTAATTGGCACCTGTAATTGGCAGGTTCAAACTAAAAGTGAGGATTGAATGGTCACACTGATTGATTTATTCTCTCAACCCTAGAAGTGGCTCATCTAGAAATTTTAATGTATTTAGATATCAGTGTGTGTGACTGTCCAAATACACACTGCCACTCTTTCCTGCACGCACCCATACCATACCATACCCATAGGGCTTTCATTCTAAACACTTCTCACCAGCAGGACACTTCATTGAAAATGGAAAAAAGAGAAGTAGAACAGTTATTTTCAGAGAGTTATTAAAAATACTTGCAAATAATGGGCCAAATTTATTTTCCACTGAAGTCAGTACTGAATTTGGTTCACTGTGAATAGTCAGACCCAATCCACAAGTACCAATAACTGGCCCCATGGTAGGCAGGTAGCTAATCAATCAATAAATAAATAAAAGAATTACACATTTTTAAAGATCTAAATAAAGCT